TCTCACTTCACCGAAGAGAGATGTGTCTCCTGGAAGGCTTGGAAACAGTGCTGGCGGTCTTATGAAAGCTCGGGAACAGGGCTGCTCCCAAGAGCTGTGACCTGCTGGGGTTCTTTATTTCTGGGCCTTTCCAACCAAGCCCACAAAAACCAATTCACAGGAGGAAGGAGAGCCAGAATCTCCATCATGTCCAGCCCTTCCCCAGAGAGGTCAGTCCTGAGACGTGAAGGACTCACTGGCAGTGTGCTGGGCCCAGCCCTGCAACCACGGGGGTGGAGCCCTGACTCTGCTCATCGGGTGGGAAGAAGCAGGAGAAATTACAGAGGGAGGGAGGAGAAAGGGCTTGGATGTGGCCACCTCTGGGTCACAGAGGTGAGTGAGGTGCCTCATGCCATGGGATCATCTGACCACTGGGATTCTAAGTAACAATCCAAGACCCAGCTTGACCACTGCCTGGGCTCTGCCACAGACAGCTCAGGGTGGTGGGCCGAGGAACCCCTCCAGGAGAGCACAGGAACCATGGAGACCCCTACTGCTGGGGGAAGGTGGTAGTGGGGCACACACGTTGTGGGAAGTGCATCCCAGGTCAGGAGAGTAAGAGCTGGACACATGGCAGGACAGTCCCTCCTAGACCACTCAGGACAAACGTAAGAGCCCAGGTATGGCTGAGTCTGAGCGGGACCCCGATGACCCACCTGTGCTCAGGACCTTGTCTGCCATCTTTTGCAGGAAGGACGGGATGTGCGGCTGCACCACGGTGTACCGCTGGTCCCAGTACTTGTCATTGTAGTCCTCCTGAATCTTCTCCTTCCGCAGCTCATGTTCCTCCACCATGAACTCACTGTGTGGACAGCAAGAGTGCTGACGCAGGGGAGAGGGGGCACGGAGAACAGACTCACAACACAGAGGGCAGGGGGCCCCGGAGAACAGACTAACACACGGGGAGAGAGCCCCAGGGGACACGCTCACACACGGGAAGGACATGCTCACACATAGGGGGCTGGGCCCCCAGGCACACTCATATAGAGGGCAGATGACTGGTGCACTTCTGGGGGTGGCTGTTGAGGACGGAAAGGAGGCAGGATTGGAGCAGGGCAGCTGCTGGCGCTCAGGCTGGCACTGGCCTGACTCATTAAGAATGAGTGTGAGTGTGGTGTCTGTTAGCGATCTTCTGTCACGGCAGAGCTGGGGTCCAGCCTGCATTCAGACACTCAGCTCGTTAGGTTTCACATGTAAGACGACAGGCACGAGGCATGTGCGCTGTCACTCATGTGCCTCGCCACATCTCAACCTGTCTCACACGCACTGTGGCTTTGAAACCGCACTCCATACTTACCAGTCCCTCTCCCGAGATAACCTTCAAACCACAGATCAAAACCATCCCCTGAGGTCAGCTTCACACCTCACGGTGTGGCTCAGCCAGTAAAGAGCATGGGCCTCAAGCTTCCCGTCCTTTACAAACCATCCACGTGGCTAGGCGCCCTGCTGAGTGTAGATCACAAGCACTGGACTGTAAAGTTGGTCTGAGCCTTGGGGCCCTATCCAGGGTAGCTGAGTCAGAACCAACTGGTTGGCACTCAACAACACAACGTGGGACCAGAATGATGGCAAGTTTCAGGAGCGGTGAGTTAGGGTTAGCACAGGAGGGACAGCGCAAAAAGAGAGAACATTGTACTCCCAAAAGAACGTCATCAGTGTCAGCGAGCTGCAAGTGAACTGGTGCATGTTTCACTGTGTACATGAAGGGGCGTCAAAAGGTTAATCGAAAATCCCATGATTTTTAATCTCCATTCTTTCTACGAGTTTTCTGGAGCCCTCTCATACTCTTAGCAAAGTAAATATAATTTAGAAAAAAAATACGCATTTTTATGTTATCACCTTCTAGCGGAGGTATGTGTAGGTTTCCCCACACCATGACAGGAGGGGCAGAGCTCATGAAGAGACCCACCTGTACGGGTCGTCAATGATTCCCCGGTAGATCCACTTCTCCAGGATCTCGAAGTAGGGCACGCTGGCGGCCTTGGTCAGGTACAGACACAGCTCCTGGGCCTGGCTGTCCCCTGTGTAGTTGAAGCTCCTGTCGTGCAGAAGGCTGAGGGTCGAGCCTCCCAGACACTCGCCCTTATCCACCGACGTGGCTGTGAGGAAGGCAGGAGATGCTCACCCACTGAAGGCCATGGGCACCGCCTCACTGACCCTCGTCCCTCATCACTGCCAGTGGCCCTCTGAGCCCAAGTGCAGTTACAAACGCTCTCTGATCACGGGCACTCCCCGCCCTCCCAGGAGGCCCCATGGTACCGAGCGAGGCCAGGATGTCCACTGTGCGCATGGTGGGCTGGATATAGAACCAGAGCTTCGGCAATGACAGTAGGCCCTGCCTCTGCAGCTGCTCCAGCTGCGTCAGGAGAATCAGGTACTCCTTCAGCAGTGTGCGCATGGCGGCCGCTAGGGCGTGGTTCACCTGCCCATACTCGAAGGACGACTTCTCCTCAATGAACCTGCAAGGAGGACGGACGGGCTTGGCACCTTGAGGCAGGACAGCCACCTTCTCTTTCAGGAAGTGTGCCCCTATCCATCGGGTAGGTAGCTGGCTCAGCCGTCCATCCTGAGGGGTGCAGATGGGGCACAGTGCTCTTCCCTGGGCTGTACCAGATGAGGGGCTTTTTGAGAGCACCAGGGTCCCTACGGTCTGCTGAGCAGACCTCTGGGTGTGACAACTGAGTCCAGGCCTGGATCCAGTGCATGGCACCCACCTGGTCACAGTGGAGTAGCTGGCGGCCACCGGGAGGATCCTGTTCACCAGCTCCCGGACAGAGAGATCCAGGTTGGGGTCCACGAGGAAAGTTCGGCTCTGCCGGCCCGTGAGGGGCTGCGCAGTGATGTACCTGCCGTCCACACCGGCCAGCACATAGAGCAGGTCCTCCACCACGGCCGACTCCTGGGAGGTCAGGGGCAGCGTGCCTGGGGGAATGGCGCAGGGTCTGACCCCTCCACCTGCTGACCCTGTACTGCCCTCACCCATCTGGTTAGGATTATGCTTTGCCTTCCTTCCCCTCCATACAGCTGTCTCAGAGATTCACGGACACTAAAACCAACTCAGTGCATGTGGCCTGGATGGAGCCCAGGGGTTCCTGACGGCTGAGATCCCAAGCTCCCAGCACAGGCGTGTCTAGTCCAGGAGCTGCTGGACACTGATGCGGCTGGAGGACACGTGACCACAACTACTGCACTGTTGTCTATTTTAAGGCAAACAATCGAACCTCAGGTTGTGAAGACAAATGCTGGTCTCTCTAAAGATAAAATTCAGACCTACAGAGAGGCTGCCGATGAAGTGGCAATATTCAAACCACAGCTTGTAATGCTGGTCTATCCTTAAATTTTACATGGAATCTGCTGAAATCCCATCACACACCAGTATGAGAGGGCTGCAGGGGGCACTGTCTGCTTCCCTGTGGCTATCCTATATGCTGGCTCTGTCCGGGACGTCTCAATGGGACAGGAGGGCCACCTGGCAGCCCAGGCAGACATCACTGCCAGGAGAAAGGCAGCTTAGGGAGACTTGGTGGCACCAGCCTTGTGGGGAGCCCAGATTCCTCCTCAGGACACTGGGCCCTGAGCACACATGAAGGAAACCCCGAATCACACCCTAAGTCCAGATGACGCCTGAGGCGCCCTGCCTAGATGAGATCCCATACCTATGGGCAGAGCTGTGTCCGCGCCCATCCCCGAGCCGGTCAGGAAGTCCCCAGTCAGAGCAGGTCGCTCATACACCCACGCTGGGAACACGGGCAGCTGCTGGCCCGAGTTCCTCTTCTTCTGCTTCTCTCGCAGCATCTTTCTGGTAAGTTCCAGAGACTACCAAGGACAGTTTAAAATACAAAACCAGAAAGATACACTTTCAATGCAAAGACTTAGAAAGATCACGTCTTTGACGGAGAGAAGTCAATCATTTGACAAGGGTTCAAGGAGGCTGCGCGGAATTCAAACTATGGTCTGTGAGCCATACCAGGCCAGAGGCTGGGAAGGGAGGGAGGAAGCCTCGAGGAGACCGCAGCCCCTCAGTGAATCACATGATCCCCCAAATGCCACAGAGCTGGTACCCTAAGTCAGGTCCTGCAGCATGGGACCGTCTGTAGCTGGGAGCGAGGGCAGCTCTGCTGGGCGCTCACAGCCTGTCGGGAGGAGGTGAGCCGGCTCGCGGCAGCACTGACTCACAGCTCTCTCTGCCTGTCTCTACAATTGGGATGGGTCTCCATCTCCGCCCCTCCCAGATAGGAAGAGCTGGTAAGAGAAGGGGCAAGTGTTGGAAGGCCATTGTTGTTTTCCACCATTTGTCTGTCAGGTTGTCACACGGTGGTGGCCTGTCTATTTGGTGGCTTGTGTGTTGATAATTACTGGTGACTAGGATCCAAACAGAAGTGACCCAATGGAATGCGGAAATCACAGGATGATGTATTTGAGATCCCATGCGAGTCAAGTTTTACTAAAAGTAATACAGAAATGGCTACAGGCATACATTGACAGAGAACTTCCAGAGGTTTAAGCTGGAGTCAGAAGACGATGTGGCATGAGAGATATCATTACTGATGTCCAATGGATCTTGGCTGAAAGCAAAAAACACCAGAAAGATGTTTACCTATACTTTACTGACTACACAAAGGCTTTCGATTACGTAGACCATGACAAGCTATGGACAACACTGCGAAGTATGAGTATTCTGGAACACTTAATTGTGCTCATGAGGAATCTGTACCTGGACCAAGAGGCAGTTGTTTGAACTGAATGTGGGAATACTGAATGGTTTAAAATTAGGAAAGGAGTGCGACAGGGTTGTATTCTTTCACCATACTTATTCAGTCTGTATGCTGAGCAAATAATACGAGAAGCTGGGTTCTGTGAAGAAAAACGTGGCATCAGGATTGGAGGAAGACTCATTAACAACTTGCGATATGCAGATTATACAACCTTGATCAATAAAAGTAAAGAGGACTTAAAATATTTACTGATGAAGATCAGAGAGCACAGCCTTCGATATGGATTACATCTCAATGCTAAGAAAACAAAAATCCTCACCATTGGACCAATAAACAATATTCTTATCAATGGCGAAAAGACTGAAGTTGTCAAGGACTTCATTCTTCTTGGATCAACTATCAACACTCATGGAAGCAGCAGTCAAGAAATCAAACTACGTATTGCATTAGGCAAATCTGCTGTACAAGACCTTTTTAAAGTGTTGAAGAGCAAAGATGTCAGCTTCAAGACTAAGGTGCGCCTGACCCAAGTCATGGTATTTTTTAATAACCTCATATGCATGTGGAAGCTGGACAATGGATAAGGAAGACCATAGAAGAATTGATGCTTTTGAGTTATGGTGTTGGGCTGCCAAAAGAACCAACAGATCTGTGTTAGAAGAATTGCAGCCAGAGTGGTCCTAGGAGGCCAAGATGGCCAAATTTCATCTCTCATACTTCGGACATATTGTCAGGGGGGACCAGTCACTGGAAAAGGATATCATGTTTGGTAAGGTGGAAGGTCAGAGAAAAAGATTCAGACCCCCAGTGAGATGGATTGGCAAAATGGCAGCATCGATGGACTCACGTGAGGCAACGATAGTGAGGTTGGCCCAGGACCAGGCAGTGTTTCTTTCCGTTGTGCATAAGGTCGCTATGAGTCGGTACTGACTCAATGGCACCTAACAACAACGACAACAACAACAACAACAACAACAACAAGAACGCAAAGGCTGGAAGCAAAGAGGAAGGATCAGTAGTTGGAAAATATGACCTTGGTGATATGCTGGAGATTGCATATTAGTTTTACAAGACCAATGAACAGTTCATGCAAATACTTTTGAACAACATAAAAAGACAACTATAAACATGGACCTCACCAGATGGAATACACAGAAATCAAATTGACTACTTCTGTGGAAAGAGATGGTGGAAAAGTTCCATATTCTCAGCCAATACAAGGCCAGGGGAATACTCTGGAAGTTTAAACTGAAGCTAAAGAACATCAAAACAAGTCCACGAGAGCCAAAATTTGACCTTGAACATATCCCACCTGAATTGAGAGATCATCTCAAGAACAGATTTGATAATTTAGACACTAATGATCAAAGGCCAGAAGAGCTGTGAGATGACATCAAGAGCATCATAAAGAAAGGAAAAGGTCATTAAGACAAGAAATAAGGAAAAGACCAAAATTCATATCAGAAGAGACTGAAACTTGCTCTCCAGCCTAAAGATACAAAAACAAATGGAAGAAGTGAAGAAATCAAAGAGTTGAACAGAAAATTTCAAAGGGCAGTTTGAGGACAAACAGTCAATATTATAATGAAATGTGCAAAGACCTGAAGTTAGAAAACCAAAAGGGAAGAACACACTCAGTATTTCTCAAACTGAAGGAACTTAAAAAAATTCAATTTCTGATTTGCGATATTGAAGGATTCTATAAGTGAAATGGAGTCTTGGTGTAGCACTGCGGGATAACACACTGGACCAAAACATCGATTTGAACCACAAGGTCAGCGGTTCAAACTCATCAGCTGCTCCTTGGAAATCCTACACAGGGTCGTTGTAAGTCGGAATCAACTCGAAGGCACTTAAACAACAACAACAATGGGTAAAATATTGATGCAGAAATCACCCTAAGACGATACAGGAAATAAATACACAGAGCCAAGGTACCAGAAAGAAATGGACGACAGTGATGAGGGCTTACAACATAAAACTACAAACAACTCCTGAAAGGAAAGCAAACTGAAAGCTAAAGTAGACAAAACCAGCACAAGAGAAAGGAATAATCTAGAAGATTCTCTACAAAGCCTACTCTTGTAAAAACCAGCTCAAAAGCTGATGGAGGAAGGTGGGGAGCTGACTGATGGCTGAGACCTCACTCCCACCTTCACCAGCGGGCCTGTGGACATCTACTGCAGGACTATGCTCTTCAAAGGTCCTGAATTCTGGATACAATTAAAAACCAAACACCTGGGCCATGGAAAGCTGGGTTGTGGTCAAATGTGAAGAAGCCTCTAGCTCCTGAGCTTCAGATTCATTTTCACAGCTGACAGCGATGGGGCCCACAGGTGGGCAGGTGTGGTCTGCGGGAAGGTCAGCCCCCAGAGCAGATGCCGTACCTGCTGCAGTGTGCAGCCTGTGGCCACAGTGCCGAGCTGCCTCCTCAGCTCCTCAAGCTCCTGCGTGGTGATCTTGGCAGCTGAGGCGGGGCCGCTGAAGCTGGGGGCAGAGCTGGCTGCAGTACTGGAGGCCAGCTCTGCCCGCTCTTTTGCATTGTGCTGTAAGTACTGCAGGGTCTAAAAAGAACAAGGCCAGATACTTGTGGGGTGAGGGGTTGAGCACACTCGTGCAAACTCCCACCCACTACTTTCTTAATTCCATTGAGCACCCAGGAGAACACAGAGGGGCTGCTCTTGGAAACCTTCAGCTCCCCTGCTTTTCTAGCAGGTGTCCCACCTGCCTGGCTGAAATCCTCCTACTGTCCACTCCTGAGCTGTCTTGCTGGCCCACCAGCTCTGCAGGCCTCACCCATCAGTCCCCTGCATGCCTAGTGAGTCCCACCCCACCACATCTGCCCTTGGTGCTGGGGCCCATGTGCACCCTCACCCTTTAGTCCTGAAAAGATGCAGGGCTGCGTGATGCCAGCGAAGCACCTAACAGAACAAAACGCTCCAGGACCTGGGTCCTTGGACCCGGATGTGTCTGATGTGAACAACGTGTACAAGATAAACTGCTCAGAGAGTGCAGCATGCCTCCCTGCTCTACCTTCAGTCACTGTCCATCCCGAGGGTGTACACAGAGGCGACAGGAGGGGCAGAGTGTGGCCAGGTGAGGAGGCAGGATGGCCGTCAGTATCCAGCCACACTGAGAAGTTGGCCCGAGCTGACGCTCCCTCAGGAGCTCATGTCTTACTCGCCTCTCAGGCATGGAAGGGGCTTCTTTCTCAGCGGGGTCCCCTACCTCCTTGTCCTCTGTGAGCTTCGCCAGCAGGTACACTAGTGGGTCCAGGCTCCGTGTGTTTTTAGACTTCAGCTCATCGTACTTCTTCAGGAAATCTTCCGGAGTGCGAGAGAATTCTGCTATTTTAACCTAAAAGCAAGAACACGAGTGAGTCTTGGTGTGGTGCTGTGGGTTACTGCGGTGGACTGTAAAGCTGTTTGAACTGCAAAGTTGGCAGTTCGAGCTCAGCAGCTGCTCCTTATAAACCCTCTACAGGGTGGCTATGGGTCAGAACCGACTCGATGACACTCAACAACAATTAAATACTTAACACCAAGAAAATTCAAACACAAAAACCAAACTACTAAGTCAGACGGGCTACATAATCGCAGCACTCCAGGGCCTTTCGGGACACCCACCCATGTCTTCATGGCCTCTCAGTCTGTGCTTCCCAAGCCTTTGAGGAGACAGTAAACCTGCCATGCCCACACCTTCTGCTGTGCTCCAGCCCCTCGGGGATGGACCGTGAAGGCACAGGTCAGGGCTGTATCTCACTATGAGTCCCATGCTCCCCTCGTAACAAATCCACTCTGCTTTGCTCATTTGTCTCATCACCCCTGAGCCAGTATCCAACTAAATAAGGAAGTGTCTTGATTTGTGTTTTTAACAAGATTTCACACTGAAAATAATTTTCTGCTGAAGAGTTATGACTTTAAGTGATATGTTATTTGAATAAACAAATGACATTATCCTAGGTTGAACCAGAGCCTGTCGCTCTCCCGAGCCTCCAGCTGCTCATCTATAAACGGGGACACCTACCTTGGCACTGTGGGCAGAGACAGTGGTTGTGACGTACGGGGTCCTGTTCTTCTGCAGGAGGTCGATGTAGACCTCAGCGCCGTCGCCCCCATGGACACGCAGCAGGCTGAGCAGTTCATTGACATCATGGTGGATCCGGAACTCACTCATGGTGCTACCTCCCAGACACCAACATCATAACACGAACTTCTAAGAGTGAGAGAAACACCACTTCGGAAATCAAAACTCTGAACCAAGGACTTGAAAAGCCATCTAATGTAAGGCCAATGCCAGACTTCTGTCATTCAGCTGGGGCCCAGGAGAGCCTTGCACGCACTCCTCAGACGTCACAACCACCTTAGACGTACCTGCCAACGCTAAGCCCCAGCTCCCAGCTCTCCAACCTTGAGCCATTCAGCTGCAGCTCCATTGCAGCTCTGGCACCAGAACCTCCTCCTCATCCCTTTTAACCTTTCTGTCAGATCCTGTGCCCTTGAGCTGGATGAAGCCCCATTTTAGCTCAGTATGCCCACTGGGTCCGAAGGTCTTGCCAGACACAAAGCAAGTGTATCCCCAGGTGGAGCACAACAGACGGCACAGGATCCCACGCTCTGTCATTGAAGGTGGCTCAGGTCACTGACAGAACGCATGCGTGGAGCAACCACCAGGTTCAAAACACAATCGGGACAGAAGGCATAGACGTCAGGAAAACACTGCAGTGTGCACCGCAAGGGCCTCTGAGCCTGGGAGCAGACCAGCCCTCGGAATACAAACCTTCAGCTGCTCCGATGGTTCTGCACCCCAAACGACATGCAACTGACTAAAACCCATGAGCCAAACCCACTGCTGGGGAGCGAATTCCAACCATAGATAACAACCCTCCAGGGCAAAGCAGCTCCGCTCCTTAGGGTTTCTAAAATGTCACCACTCTCTCCCATGGAGTGGCTGGTGGGCTTGAACTGCAGACCTTGTAGTTAGCAGCCCAACACTTCACCCACTCTGCCACCTGGCCTTCTTGCAGCTGACTGTCGCTGAGTGAGTCGAGTGGGACTCAGCCTTTCCCGGGCAGTCTCATCTCTCTCCCTAAGGGCAGTGATGGCCTTGAGCGCAGAACCAGTTAGCTGTCTGGAGGCGACACCAGGGCCCAGGGCCAACTTACCAAGGGCTATTCATTGACACTGGGCATTGTGGCGGAGCTAGACTCTTAGCCAGATGCACACGTTCACGGCGCAGACAGCAGAATGTCTCCAACAAGGGAAGTGGAGCGAGCCGGGACCTGGGGGCAGTCCCTGGCCAGCTAGGCTGCTGCCAACACCTCTCATGGTGAGCGCTCGGGGAACATGGGCATGGCCATGCCCAACCCTGACCCAGCCGTCCCTGCGGTGGGCCTCTGGGCGCCGGCCTGTCCTTTTTAGGCCTCTGACCCTCAGGGGTGGCGCTGGGGTTAATGTGCTGGACTGCAAAGTCGGCTGTTTAAGCCGGCCAGCCGCTCCTCGCAAACCCAGTGCGGCGTCGTTATGGGTCGGAACCGAATGCAGTCGTCCGGTGCCTCACCAGAACGGGGCAGCTGGGACCACGCAGGCTTACACACATTAGTCGGTTGGTCAGTCGGTGGAAGGACGGCTCGGCCATCCGACCCGCATCTGAGCCTCACACAGGGCTGAGCGAGGCCAGGAAATCCCACACCTCCGCCACGGCCGCCCGCTCGGTTCCGACCCAGAGCGAGCCTGGACTGGGTTTCCGAGGAGCGCTGTCCAGCGGGCAGCCGGCGGGGCATCGGGCCGCGAAGGGAGGCCCCGGGGTTCCCACGAGCAGCCGCCCGGCCTGAGGGGACGTCCCTCTGCTCACGAGGAAAGCCGCGGGCACTGTCCCGGGCCAGCCCCCCATCCGGGCCTGAGCCCCGCGCGGCTGCCGCGGGCAGTCTGCGAGGCCTTTCAGCAAAGGGTTCCGATAAAACCGGCCTTTCCCAGAGCCCACGAGGGCCCCAGTTCGGGCAGGGCGCGGACCCGCAAGAGTCGACGCGGGCTGCGGATTTGGGGTGCGGAGGGAACCCAGAATGCCGCTGCGGGACCTGTCAAGGCAAGTAGCCACAACAAGGCCGCCCCAAGTCCCGGAGATGCGGGGAGTGCCGGGTCCGGGGAGCGCGACGCTCCCGGCCCAGAGCCCAAGACGGCCTGAGAGGCGCAGGCTCGGCGGTGACAGCGCCACCAGGCACCCCGCACTCACCTCAGACGTCTAACCTCCCAGCCCGCAGATCATCGCAGCCCGCGGCGACGGCGGAACTGCACGTGACGTCACATCCGCCTCCGGACGGTGGCCGACAGGCTGGGGTGGCGGCGGGGCCCGACGATGCAGCTGCCGGCCACCCTGCGCGCCCGCCTGTCCGAGGGCCCCGGGGCGGCCGAGCCGCTGCCGGTAGTGCGGGTCCCTGCGGCTGGGGCCGCGCCCTTTCGCTTCGTGGCTCGCCGGGTCCGCTTTCCGCGGGAGCACGAATTCTTCGAGGTGCGTAGCGAGTTCGCGCACGCGCGAAGGACGAGTTGCTGGGTATGGGGTGGGGGGGCCTGACCTCTCGAGGGGCGGGGCCTAGGGGGCGGGGCGGGTAGGGCCCCGGCCCCGCCCACGGCATGTGTCTTCTCCAGGACGGGGACGTGCAGCGGCACCTTTACCTACGGGACGTACTCACACAGGTGGCCGAGGCACCTGAGAGGCCCAGGTGAGCAGTTCCCAACCCTGCTGAGCCAGGCTTCTCTGCCGCTCACGCTGGCTCCTGGACTCATCTACCCACACCCCTTCTCCGCCCCCAAACCTGGCCTCCCCTGCGGCGTTCTCCTTCCTATAGGCCCCGCCTCCTGCCGGCCCCGCCTTCTGGAGGGTCCCTCCCCAATCCTCTCCCTCGATCCGATATCGCTTTGGCTCCACAAAACCCCAGGATTCCGACTCTTAGCAAACCTGTAGGACGGAGTAGAACTGCCCCACAGGGTTTCTGAAACTACATCTTTGCCAAAGCCGACTGCCACCACCGATTTCCCCCACAGGGCAGCTGGTGGGCTGGAAGTGCCCACCTTTCGGTTAACAGCCTCCCTGGCTCAGCCGCACTTACCTTTCGCGGGCGCGCAGCTCCCAGACTTTGTATGGCTGGCCTCCCCGCCTAGGTCTAGCTTGCTTATAGAAGTGGGAAAAGTGGGGCTTAGCTTCATCCAAACGGCAGAAAGGCTGCACGGAGCTGTCTAGTGCTGGCGCCCCTGAGACCCGCCCCTCACCCCCAGGGTGCCCGAATTCCCCTGCCAGGTGGCAGGCTGCTGCCAGGTGTTCGACAGCCTGGAGAGTTACGAGCACCATTACCACGCGCTACACCGGAGCGTCTGCTCCATCTGCAAGCGGGCCTTCCCCTCGGGCCAGCTGCTAGACCGGCATCTTCTCGAGTGGCATGACACCTTCTTTCAGGTCCTGGCTGAGAAGCAGAACATGGTGAGCAGCAGCCTGGGCCCCGGGGTGCACACCAGACTCACTGTGTTGTCAGGGGGCCCTCCTGCCCTTGGGGAATGGGGTAGACCCGGGGTCGTGCGTCTCCAGACAGGAGAGCACCGGCTGGGGGCTGTGGGGTCGTCATGGTGGAGTGGTGCATTCCGTTTCAGTACCAGTGTTTGGTGGAAGGCTGCGAGGAGAAATTCAGAACCAGCCAGGCTCGGAAGGAGCACATGGTGAGGCGTCACCTGTACCCTGCGGATTTCCGGTTTGATAAGCCCAAGAAGAGCCGAGGGTATGTGTCCCAGGCTGTGTGTGCGCCTCCGGATCCTCATTGCTGTGTGACTACGGCCCCTTAACAAGAGAGGCTTATCGGTTAACTCCAGCACACAGACTTGAGATGTCATGGGCACGGGTCTGTGAGTTACCAATGTTGGTTTCAGCTGCAATCACAGAAACCTGAAAACCGGGGATTATCAGCCAGAGGAGTTTGAACGAGGAGGAGCTTGTGTTTTGCACTCCTGCCCCACAGTGTTGGTCCTTGGAGTACTGCCCTGAGCCCATTAGTGCTTTAGCAGCGCCCTGTTCTCCTCCTGGCTCCACCACAACCGTCCCTCTGTGGAGCACACTGGGGGCACAGCCCCTGGAGGGCACCCTTGCCAACAAGGTCCTTGTGACTGTGTCCCCGGCTGTGAGCCCCTGGCCTCAGGCCTTCTGGTTTCTCCTTTGTCCTGTAGTGTTTGTTCATGGACACAACTTCACCACTTAGTGGCCAGGCTACTTTCTACAGTGCGTCACTATGATGCCCAACACCTGAAATTGGGGAACCACCTCTAGGGATACTGGTACACTTGTGTGATGTTTCCTTTTTT